TATAGTAATATTAATATCAACATCTGCAATGCATACACAGAAACAAATTCCTCCCGTGACAACAGCTTTTACTCTCATTTCCTCTCTTGTGAATGATGGAGCAGGATTTAGATAGATACCCATCTCATGTCAGGGACATCCGCTATCAGGTTAGAGTTTGGCAGCATCTTTTGGTCTCTGCCTTTAGTCTCCTGACCAGTGTGCTTTACAGGTTCAGGGGCCAGTTACTGAATTCTCGTCTGAGAAGGAATTTCCCGTGTCTGTGTTCGATCACCTTGCAAAGTAGATAAGCCTTGCACTTAGTTCACGTTCTTCCACAAATGGTCCCTCTTCTTTCACATCACGGCTGAGTTGCAGGGGAATGACCTGCCTGAGCTCCACTGGGTTGGAGTTGGTGTTCYACGTGGCCGCAGAGCGAAGAGCGGAGGTGGGGTCATCTGACCCCGTGGTTTTTTTGGCAGGTGCATTCATGGGCTCCTTCATTTCCCTGCTGGCGGGGGCGGTATGGGGCGGGGCATGTCAATCATCCACTCTACTTGAGCTCTCATTAGTAAAAGATTTTTGAAAGTAGCAGGCCTTTCAGGGCTGACAGGTAAAAAGATCTGCAAGTTCAATTCTGCTCAGAAACCCTTTGGGAGCAACAGAATTCACTACCTTCATGGGCATCCTCTTCTCTCCCTCCTTCTTTGCTCTCCTGAAGTTTTCCTTCTGGACTCGTCTTTAGATTAATTGGCTGTGTAAGAAATTTACAAAATAATCCTTGGAAATTTGGGGCATAAAACATTTAAGACATTTCCAAAGGGGTGGAGAAGGGCACCAGAACAAACATCTCACACTCACCATCTGCTTAAGCGGTAAAATATCCCCACCCTGAAGAAACCCCTGAGGATCCCTTCATTTCTTTTCTCTGAACTTGATTTTTATTTTTATTTTTTTGTACCTGGAATTGACCTCAGGGGCACTCGACCCCTGAGCCCCATCCCCAGCCTTATTTTGTATTTTATTTAGAGACAGGGTCTCACTGAGTTGCCTAGGGCCTCACCGTTGCTGAGGCTGGCTTTGAACTCGTGATCCCCCAGCCTCAGTCCCACCGTGCCCCACTTGGCTTATTCTTAATTTGGAATTTCTCATTCCCAGGCATTTCTTTTGTGCATTTCTATGTTAATGAATATGCCTGCCACTATGTCACTATGGTTTGAATGTTTGTGTGATTTGAATTTATGCTGAACTTCATCAACAATACAAGAGTATTAAGAGGTGGATCTTCAATAGGTCACTAAAGCTCTGTTTTCATGGATGAAATTAGTGCCCTTATAAAAGGATTTAAGGGGCTTGTTTGTCCCTTTTTGTCCCCTTCTACTATGTGAGGACACAGCTTGAAGGTCTTTGAAGGAGTACAGCAAGCCTTCTCCTGTTCCCAATTCTACTTGATTTTGAACTTCCAGCCTCCAGGACTGACAGAAATAAATTTCTACTATGTATAAATTACCCAGCCTAAGGCATTTTGTTATAGCAACAAGAATGCAGCGAGACACATGTATTTCTAAACAATAAATTACTAAATTTTCATAAATAGAATAATGCTGTATATACTACTGCAACAATTTTTTTCATTCAACAACTGAAAGATTCATGTGGGTGATGTCTATGTCTCTAGTTTATTAAATTTTCACTACCACATATAGGTATATACTRCAACTTATTATCATACTGTGAATATGCATATAAAACATGTATTTTAAAAATAAATGTGTATATAGTATATAGATAGATAGATATACATATATAGACAATATACACACACAATTCATTTTTTTAAAAATCCAGTGTAAATTGTGATACCTAAAATTGTTTCCTTTAGAGCTCTTGTGTACTCGATAGTAGCTATGAGCCACATGTCCTCAGCACTTACAACAAATTGAAATGTGCAGCAGTTGTGAATACATACCAGGTACTAAATTTTATCACTTAATCATCTCAGGTTTTATACCAAATGTTTTTGCAAAATTTAAAATGGATTAAAATGGGTGGTATGACCATCACGTGAAGCTTTTAAAAAAATGTGCCAGTATCACTTAAAAATCATTTTATTACTGAACTGTCTTTGGTGCATGATCAGGATACATGGAATACTCATGAATGTTCGTTAATGCAATGGTGAAGGTTGTTGAAATACAGTACTGGAGACTTAGTACAAGAGAAGGAAGATAAAATAAGTCATTAATAACATAATATTGAAAACCTCTTAGATACATTGGGCTAGGTTAAATATGATATGGTACAATTGATTTCTCCAGTTTTCCTCTCCCTCCCTCTTTCCTTGCTGCCTTCCTTCCCCCCCCCCCCCCCTCTCTCTCTCTCTCTCTCTCTCTTTCTTTCATGTGGCCACAAGAAACTGTACAGTTACATGTGTCTTTCACAGTTGTCGCCCAAGCTGTGTCTCTACTGGTGAGCTCTGCTCTAGATTAGGAGCCATGGTGGCCAGGAGCCTGTGTGTCGTCACAGTAAACCCAGGCCCAGGACAGCAAAGGTCCCAGGAGGTGCCCAGGATACATGTCTTGAATAAATAAATGCATCAACAAGAGACCACAGGAAAGAATAAGGACTGTTACATTCCCACCTGGTTCGTCCCTTTGTCCTCGAGAAAGTGGCACAAAATTGTCTCAGAATAAAATTCCTATAGGAGACTCTGCCTGAGTTGATTTTGCCCGGCGGCTCCTGGGCTGACCACAGATGGACACAGGGCCTCCTCTTCTGCCCTCCACCCCCAGGTGAGTGGAAGTTGACTCCTGGTCCCTGGGAATCCCCTGAGCCACAGCAGCCTGACAGGCTGTGTGTGCACCTGTGTGGCGTCACTAAGTCCAGCAGCGCACACGTGAGTGCATGCGCGTGCATACTTGTGTGAGCGTTGATGGGTGAGAAAGTGGGGCATCTCTTTTCAACTATAAAACTATCCAAGGAACATCTGAAGTCTAATGTCATCATTTTTGGTCTCAAGAACATTTCAATCAAAAATAGTGAGCTTCCTTTCTCCTATTCTCAAGCAGAATATCCATTTGATGAGACCATTGACAAGGACAAGTTCCTTCTATTGCCCCCTCAAAATCCCAGTGTATGAAAACTAGTTGGGAACCAGGAGAGGAGGCCCCACCCATAATCCCATTAACTCATGAGGCTGAGGCAAGAGGATCACAAGTAGGAAACCAACCAGAATAACTTAGCAAGACTCCTGTCTCAAAATACAATTTAAAAAGGGCTGGTAGTATATCTCAGTGGTTGAGCACTTGCCTAGCCTGTGCAAGGCCCTGAGTTCAATCCTCAGTACTACCAAAAAAAGAAAAACGAGATGGAGTTCCTGAGATGCAGGTTAAAGAAAACAAGAACATTTGAAAACAAGGAGGGTAATGTAGCTGCCAAGAAAATGATGGAAAACAGCTTATGCCTAAATATAGTTGTATTCTTCTTCAGAGAAACCTAGTAGACCAATAAAAAGTTACTAAAGAAATAAGGGACTTTGTTTTAACAAATGACGTAATGTAATAATCATTTAAAGAGCACATTCCTGGGTATTTTAAACATGATTACACTATTTCAAAGTTTCATCTTTGAGACACTGAGTCAATGTCTTCAGAGTCTTTGGCTGCATAAGGGAGGCTGGGCCTCCACTTCCTGGGGTGGCCAGTGATCTGTATGGGTCTCTTGTTTTGCTGGATCAAATGATAAAGAAAAATGTTGACTTGCACTCTTTTATCCAAGTCCAAGGATCATCTGGATGGGCGGGTGCAGGAAGGGAGCCTTCCTTCCCTTCCCCTTCTTCCTGGGCTGAATGCACCAGACAGAGGGGTGGAGCCACATTTCTGGAGGTCCAGTCACACCCCAGAAAATAAATGTCTTCCTGGAAGAACTTGCAAGCTCAGTAGGCAGAGCGCTCCTCACTGAGACCCGAGGTGGGGGTCCTCCTCCTTGCCTTTTACTTCAATTTACTCGATCATGAAAACCATCAAGGCATAAAAATTTTCATGCTAATGACCATTAAAAAATCCAGCCACTCAACTCCCTGCTACACTTGTGCTGCCCCTGTCTTGACGTCACTCTAGATGAGGGATTAGCAGTTGACTGGCTCATATCACTACTCCTCCTGAACTTTAGCCAAAGTCACTCTGGACTTTGAGCTCAGATCCAATCTCTGGCTCAGCACCATGCTCCAGAAGGCCACCACTAGTCCATCTAAGTTGCCACAAAAATTGAGTTTTTCACTTTATACACTTTGAATCTTCTCTGTCACAGACATGAAGTCATAGCAACAGTTCTAGAGAGATGTACATAAAGCAAGATATGGTAGAGTGAATTTTCTATGCACTAAAAGGGGAAAACACGAAAATCCTTTCAGACATTAATAAGGAGGATTGAAGGTATTATGAATCTATAATGCTTGACAATCGTACTGCACTCGAGATGAGAAGGTGCCAGAAGATATTGTGGAAGGTAATAAAGTGTGATCGTCAACAGTGTGAGTTTGGGGCTAAAGACACTTGGTTTGTATATCCAAACAATTGAAAATTATTCATCTTTAAAAAGGAAGGAAATTCTGACACATGCCACAACATGGATAAACCTTGGGGACATTAGGATAAGTGAAAGGTGTCAATCATAAAAGACAAATACTACATGATTCCGCTTACATGAGGTATCTAAAGTAGTCAATTTCAGAAACAGAAATAGAAAGCAGAATGGTGGTTATTAGGGGTGGGGACAGCTGGGAATGGAAGTTGATATTTAATGAGGATAGAGCTTTAGATTTGCAAAAGAAAGAACTTCTAGAGATCTGTTTTCCAACAACATAAGCATATTTAAAGCTACTTAACTCTTCCCTTAAAATGGTTAAGGTAATAAATTTTATGTTGTGCACTTTTTGAAAAATAATAATTAGAAAAAGATAAATTGAATTTTCCAAATTTCATATCTGGGTTTGAAAACTGGGTTCCTCTGTTTATGTGCAGAGTGGCTTTGGTGAGCTCATGGAGTCTTCCCACAACGAGGTTTCCTTGTCGCTGAGAGAAGCTGTGGTCAGCCTGCCCTGGGGCAGTGGAGCACGTCATTTAAACATGGGTCCTGCAGCCTGGGATGCCTCCTCCACTCACATCTGGGCCCTGCTTCTTCCCAACTGAGTGACTGTGAACAATTTTCTGGTCCTTCCATGCTTCAGATCTCCCATCTGTAACATGGGGTTGATGATCATCATAGTCCTTGTCTCACAGGGTGGTGTGAAGGGTGAGTGGAAATAAATGTGCAACTTAGAGAACACCCGGTACATGGTCAACACTGTGTAAGTATCTGTTTTTAGGTATCTCATAGAATAGTGAAGATTCATGAGCTAACGCAGATAGGCTACTTAGAGCAATGCCTGAAATATAAACATTCAATAAATGATAACTAAAAGTTTAAGGCATCTCACTTTTAAATAAATTTGGATGAAAACCTTTTTTTTTCTTCTAATTTTACTTGTTCTTTTTAGATATAGATTGACAGTAGAGTGTATTTTGACATATTATACATATGTGGAATATAACTTATTCTAATTAGGATCACTTTTAAAAAATAAAATTAAAGAGGGCTGGGGTTGTGATTCAGTGGTAAAGCACTTGCCTAGCATGTGTGAGGCATTGGGTTCAATTCTCAGCACTGCATATAAATAAATGAATAAAATAAAGGTCCATCAATACCTAAATTTTTTTAAAAAAAAATAAAATTAAATTAAAAATGTCCCTAAAGGCAGAGGAAACTGAATGAGGATCCCACCAGGAGTTTGGATAATGGCACTCTTATACTGATAGGGAACATGAGATTAAGGAAAAGATTCTATAAATTGGGCATATTGTGCTGACCTCCACGTGTGTTCTTATTTAAAAAGCAATTTAGCTGGCTGGCTAAGTTGGCAGAATATGTTACATTTCTCAATAAACTACCAGTTACCTGCAGGAGAAATGTAGCCCTGAAATGCCTTTAAACAAACAAACAACAACAAAAGAAAAACACAACTTATCCTGTGTGTGGGGGAACTTTTGTGATCCTGACACAGACCAGATCCCAGAACTCAGCGACATAAGGATCATTCCCTGTAACCATAAAACCTGCAAGAACACGTTCCAATTAGAACTGGTCAGCCTTAGGCCAAAGGGACTTAGAGTTGTCATGCATAGAGGGGACTTGAAAGTCTGATGTCATCCTGCTGTCCAAAGTCAGGAGGTGGACCTGGGTGGGACTCTCTGACATTTCCCTGGGACCCCTAGTAAAACTGGACGGCAGGAGAGGCATGTATGTTGTCCTTCTCGTCTGAGAGAGCCCACTCTCTCCCTCAGTGTGTCCCCCTTTCCCTTTTCCCACCCCTTCAATAAACTCATGCCTGTTACTCTGAGCTACACGTCTAAAATGTTTCTGGAATGACTGCGAGACTTGGGGTTTGAAGAGGGGGACTCCATGATGCCTGAGCTCTGCCATAGCCCCTGCCCTGCAATAGCGTTCCTTCTTCCTTGCTCCCCAAACCCACAAATAGACATTTCTCTAAAATCTGAAATGTTATTTTTAAGGTTCAAGCGAATTTGCATCCTACTCTATAATGGAGCTTACTTATTTTAAATTATGTATCCGTCAGGTACTTGATGAGAGAAAGACGCTTCATGTAAATCCTCTGGATGCACAGCTCTGACACAGCCTGCGCTATCCATATTAATACCTATTAGTATTAATGACCTAGAAAAGGTGCTTATAATTTCCTTTTGGGGTTGCAGTTTCACCCATATTTGTTGATTATGGGGGACATCCTTCCCCTAGACTCTTTCATTTTTGTTTTGTAAGACATCAACTATGAGTAATCTTGTTTTTTGCAAGGAAACAAGTTCAAACACAAAAACTACTAGTGAATCTAAGGCAGATTCTGTTGTGTATAGGATTTTGAAATCTTGACTATTTCCTTCAAGTTTCATTTTGTGTGTGTGTGTGTGTGTGTGTGTGTGTGTGTGTGTGTATGTATGTACATGTGCATGTGTGTATGCAGTGCTTGGGTTTGAATCCAGGGTCATGTTAGACAAGTGCCCTACCACTGATCTACACCCCCAGCCTCCAAGTTACCTTTAAATCCTCTGTTGAAGGATTATGGCTGATGATCTGCCTCACTGAACAGCCTGACTTAGTATAACCTCTGCTTGATGAGTTTCACAAGTGGCAAGGTTTCTTTCCCAGTGATGTGGTGTGTGCAGCTGGACAGGGGAAAGCTTTGCACGAGGACCCAAAGGATTTGAAATTACTGTATAGTATAAAAACCAAGAACTTTAAAGAAAAAAAAAACAGGGTAAAATCTATGGAGTCAATGGCCAGGTCTTCAGAAGACCTTTAGACCTGACACACACACACACACACAAAAAAAAAAAAAAAAAAAAAAGAAAGAAAGAAAGAAAAACAGACAAATTGGACCGCACCAAAATTAGAAACTTTTGCTTTGCAAAATACTCTTAAGAGGATGGAAACACAAACTACAAATCTGGAGGAAATATTTGCAAATTCTTTATATGACAAAGAATTTGTATCTAGAATGCTTAAAAAGCTCTAAAACTCAGCAGTAAAAAAAACAAACAACTGGGCTGGGGATGTGGCTCAAGTGGTAGCGCGATCGCCTGGCATGCGTGCGGCCCGGGTTCGATCCTCAGCACCACATACCAACAAAGATGTTGTGTCCGCCGAGAACTAAAAAATAAATATTAAAAATTCTCTCTCTCTCTCTCTCTCCTCTCTCACTCTCTCTTTAAAAAAAAAAAAAATAAAAGATAAAAAGGGCTGAGGATGTAGCTCAGTGGTAGAGTGCCCCAGGGCTCCATTCCTTGAACATACATAAAATATTTGTTTATCATAAATTATGCTTATGGTTTCTGTAACTTATAATATGTATTCTGTGCAAAACATATAGCCCAAATACTATTTCAATTAAAATATCATTTCAAAATTAAAAAAAAAAATTCTCTCTCTCTCTCTCTCTCTCTCTCTCTTCTAAAAAACAAACAAACAACTAATTAGATGTCTAAAATAGACATTTTAGTGAAAAGCATATCCAAATGATAAATAAATCACATAAAAAAGATGCCCAACACCATTAACCATCAGGGAAATGCAAATTGGAACCATAATGAACAATTACCACCTGCCTATAAGAAAGGCTAAAATAAAAAATAGTGATAACACAAAACACAGTAAGGATGTGAAATATCTGTATTTCCCATGCATTACTGGTATAGGAGACCAAAACATGCCATCTGTTATGGTTTGGATTTGTGCTGTTCCCTCAAACTCATGTGTGAGACCATGCAAAAAAAATGATTGGGTGAAAGGGGAAAGATTGGGTTACAAGGTCTTTAACCAAATCAGTTCGTTAATCCACTGATCGGGATTTACTGGGCAGTGATATAGGCAGTTGGGGAGTGGCTGGAGGAGGAAGATCACTGAACAGTTAAACCAACTGCAGTACGTCTATGTCCTGGAAAACTATTCAGCAATAAAATAGAAAGGGCATGGATGCACGTAATTTGGACAGATCTCAAGGGAATTAGTGTGAGTAGCAAAAGCCAATTCCAAGGATCACCTATCATATGATTTCACTTAYGTAACTTCGTGACATAACAAAATTATAAATAAGGAGAAAACATTAGTGATGCCAGGGGTTAGGGATAGGGCTGGGGGATATAGACCTGTTGCAGGGTAAGGGGCTGCCACCGAGCTGAGGCAGCCACAAAGGTCCTCTTCAAAACTTGTTCTTATAGATTTTGAGGTTAGAGGGGCTTGTCCTTATCTCCCTGATTTCTGGGATTTGGTCTGTATAAGGGTCACAAAAGTTCCCCACACTGAAGATAACTTGTGTTATTTTTATGTTTCAAGGCTACAATTCTCCCATAAGTAAAAAGTAGTTTGCTGATGAATGCCATATATCCTTTCGACTTAGCCAGGCAGGGCTGTAGTTGAATTGCTTTTTAAAAAAGAATGCACATGGGGCTCAGCCAGTCAGCCCAGTTTATAGAATTATTTCCTTAACCTCACATTCCCACTGTGCATGGCTGGCTGTTCTCTCCAGTACCATGAAAAAAATTGTTTAGAACTACACACACATATGCACACAAGTTTGTTTGTTTGTTTGTTGGTACCAGAGAGTGAACTCAGGGGTACTTGACAACTGATCTACACCCCCCAGCCCAATTTTGTATTTTATTTGGAGACAAGGTCTCACTGAGTTATTAGCTCCTCGCTGTTGCTGAGGCTGGCTTGAACTCATGACCTTCCTGTCTCAGCTTCCCTAACTGCTGGGATTACAGGCGTGTTCCACCATGCCTGGCTTGAGTTTTTATATAATGGGTGCAATCCGAATAAGTTCTGTGGAGCAGTTTCCTGGTATTTATATTGCATTATAGTTACTCAAAATGTTAACACTGGGAAAGAATGGGTAAAGGTGCACTGGATTTCTCGGATTTTTTCCCCCCAATTTTTGGTGAATGTATTACTATTTCAAAATTAAAATTTCAAAAAAATTGCAGTTGGGGAACATAAACAATTTTTTAAATTTAATATTACCTTAGGACATATACACTGACATTTTACACACAATCCTAATTTGCTTTGGTGAGTATATCTACTGATAAATAAGTGGCTCCCATTGAATTCCTGGGTTTTGTTGCTAACTGCAGTGGTATGGTATGTTTGGTATGAAAGCCATGCACTTTTCTATGATTTTTCTAGGTTTTAGCTAAAGGTGTCTATGATAGGTGTGCAGTACTGGGCTGACTGGTTTGAGCATTGTGATTGCTTTGTGAACTTCTCACGGCAAGTCTTGTTGAAGCACATACACAGTCTGCAATCCCACGTGATCATGGGGCGTTGGAGAGTTACCCGCATTTTCCATCACTATCACTTCTTGAACTGAGGCTTTGATGTATTTGCCAATGCATCTGATACACTTAAGGTGTGTCTTTGAAATAATGTAACCTTTAAGAAATACACAATACCATTTTGATCTTTCAGAATTTTTTTTTGCATCTTTTATTTTAGAACTCACGCTAATCCAGTGGAATGATTCCAGTGACTATGTTCTTTCTTTTTTGAAACATAAGCCTGAGAAGTTCTTTACCTGAATAATTGTCATTCTCGAGCCTCTTTATTCCAGCAACACTGTGCTATTCACAGCCCCATTCAACTCTTTTGGGGAGATTGTTTTCTATTCTGTAGCATATTCTTCTATTGCAGTACTAGTTGTGGAAATTATTCATCTTTTAAAGCCTAGAATGTATCTACCTATCTGTCTATGTCTACCTGAATAAATAACTAGATCTATCTTCAAAATAGGGCTGGGTTTGTGGCTGATTGATAGAGCCCTTGCCTATAACGCATTAAGGCCTTGGGCTCAAGTCCCGGCACTCAGAGAGAGAAAAAAGGCAATTCATCACAAATCAAACCAACAAAGTAGTATTATTCATTCACAGCATTAAAGAAATTCATCTGCAGTAGGGCACAGTGGCGTATGCCTATAATCCCAGTGGCTTGGGAGGCTGTGGCAGGAGGACTGCGAGTTCAAAGCCAGCCTCAGAAAAAAGGGAGGGGCTAAGCAACTCGGTGAGACCCTGTCTCTAAATAAAGTACGAAATAGGGCTGGGGATGTGGCTCAGTGGTTGAGTGTCCCTGAGTTCAATCCCTGCTACTCCCACCCCCCACCAAAAAAAAATAAAATTATCTCCAATATCAAGGAATCAGAGAACAGGAACCTTCTGCATTGCTGGAGACAGTATCAATTGCTACAAATTTTTGGAAAGCAATTTGGAAATACACATGTCCAAAGCAACCCTCCCTGGTATGACTGTGTTAGCCATTGTCACCTGTTAATTAAAAATGAACACAGGAATACATTCATAAATCTTCATTGAGTAAAATGTGGGTCTCTCTCTCTCTCTCTCTCTCTCTCTCTCTCTCTCTCTCTCTCTCATACAGGACTAGGAAGTCAGAGTCTCAGGTGTGCTAGGCTAGGCAAATGCTCTACCACTGAACTACATCCCCAGTCCTGATGCATTCTTTTGATGAAATAATTGCATAATAATTGAAATTATACTTTCAAAAATTACCTGTTAATGTAGATAAAAGCTTATAAGGAAAAATCAGGAAACAAAAGTGTGTGTCCGGTTTGGTTATACATATCATCTTGTGTAGAGCGAAAAATTAGAAAGAAACCATCAAAATTGTCGATGGAGGCTGGGGTTGGGCTGTAGCTCAGTGGTAGAGCGCTTGCCTTGAACATGTGAGGCCCTGGGTTCGAGCCTCCGCACCACATGAAAATAAGTAAACAAAATGAAGGTATTAAAAAAAATTGTCGATGGAGGCTATGTTACTGGAGGTAGAGAGTCAACTGTGGAGTAATCCTTGGTCCTTAGGAGTCAAATCTAAGATTAGGGCAATTACTCCAGCACAGAAACAGAGGTGCAGCAGGACAGAGATGGTAATCAGAGTAGGTCTATTGCAAAGTGAGAGAAAGGCGAGAGAAAGTGAGATAGACCCAGAAGAGGGGTAGGTAGATCTAAAATCCACCAAAATGATCAGGCTTAGAGATACGCATTTCCAGGGCTGTGAAACCCTGGAGTGGCAGACAGACGTGGCTCTTCAGGTCCAGTGCCTGTGCAGCTACTTCTTTTTGAGGAAGTCGTGTCCCTGCGCTGCGCTGTGTGGAAACCGCAGGAATGCTCCTGTGCTTGGATCGCTTTGACCTTTCTGACCTGCCATCACTGGCAGATGATCACATAGTGGTCGGCTGGCTCTTGGAGCAGCTTGTGGGCACATGTGTGACCTTGGGAACCTGATGTGTGCCCTTGTCTATGGAGAAAGGGAGTTAGATCCCATGCTGTGGAGTGGACAGAGACTGGTGATGAATTTCTCCTATAGCCCCACCCACACCATGGGCGAGGGGATTTTGTCTTTATGGTGTTGCACGATAGACTTTGAGCCCTCTGGGTAGATTGCCTGTCAGGGGCCCTTTTATACAGCCACCTATTTCTCTTGTCTCCTCCTTCTCCCGTTCCTGCAAACCACCCACACTAACAGCTATGTATCAGAAGTGCATTTATCTGAGGTTTGTTTTAATTATCAATCCCCTTTACTCAGCGCATGAGTTTCCTAGGGCTGCCATAACAAAGTAACACAAACTGGATGACTTAGAAACAACAGAAATTTTATTTTCTCACAGTTCACAAACCCAGAAGTTTGAAATAAAAATGTAGACAGGGCCAGTTCCTTCTGGAAATTCTGTGAGTTCCTTATCTCTCTTAGCTTCTGAGAGTTGGTTGCCACATCCTTGGAACTTTTGTCTTGTAGCTGCATTCCTCCACACTCCAAGACAGCCTCTGTCATCACATGGCCTTCTTCCCTGATAGTTCAGACAAGGACATCAGTTATTGGATTGGGCTCAACTCTAACCCAGTATAACCTCATCTTAACTAGTTATATCTGCAGAAACAAAACAAAACAAAAATAAACAAACAACAAAAACAACAAAAACAAACAAACAACAAAAACCTTTTTCTACATAAGATCACATTCTGGGGTTCTGGATAGACCAGAATTTTGAGGAAGCAAATATCCAGTATAACAGGTTGGTTTGTGTTTTTATTGTTATTGTTGTTGTTTCTTTGTTTTGTCTTTTGCAGTTTTGGGGATGGAACCTAGGGCCTCACACATGCTAGGGGAAACACTCTACCACTGAGCTACACCCTCATCTGTAACAAGTATTTTTTTCCTATTACTTTATACTGGAAAAATAGAAACATTAAAAAATAGCCAGGCCTACTAAATAAGGTAGATGATAAAGAAGGAGCAAAACAGTTGTGACTGAAAGATAGAATGACTTTTAAAAAAATGTTTCAAACACAATTTTGGTTGTAGACACAAAGTAGCAGGGCCTCAAGGTACAACCACTAGATCTACAGCCTTCAGTCTGAGTTAGACTTCTGTCTCTCCACCTACTCACTGCAAGCCTTCAGGTAAATAACTTCAATGTTCCCAGCATCAATCTTCTCACTTGTACAGAAAGAAAACTACAGTTAAATTTAAGACCTCAGCCATCTCTAGTCAGCCAACTGTTCCTTCTTAGAGGTCCAGTGGAATTATTTCACTGAGAAAGCAGAATGTTTTGCTGCCTTCTTCCTCTCCCCAGGCTGATGAAGGAGCAGAAAGGAGTGACTGAGATTTCAATGATCTACCTGTTCTCTTGTGGAGGTCAGGGTCCAAAAATAGCCCATGAATGAGTCTTTGGCTGACCTGAAAGGTTTTATGCCATGACTAGGCCAATTGACAGAGTCTGCAATGGACAGGGAAACATGGTGGAAGCTTTGAATCCAGTGGAGAAAAGTCTAGCTGGGAATAAAGGTGGCTAAGAAATTCTAGTTGTTCATTGTTCAGTGTTGGGCTATTTGTTCAGCAGTTCTATGTTACTCCCAGGACAACAACTGATACCTCTCATTTGTTTCTTAACCTTCAGTAACACTAATCAGTGTCCCATACCAGTGATATTTAGGACAGGGTTGGAGGAAAAGATGCTGTGTTCTCTCTCATCAGGTAAGTCATGGTGGGGCACCCACACATAGGACTCATATGTAAGCCTTCAAAGGAAGCAATTGAGTGTGCTGGAGATTGCAGCCAGTAGTGGCTAGAAGAGCTGCATTCTGCCCACACCATGGCCTGTGCCATAGAGTTCCAGCTAATCTAATTGCCGCTCAAAGCACAAAGTGTTTTAGATGACTTCTGTTTTGCATTCAGGGCCACAGTCTCCAGTAAGTGTTCAATAAACTCTGACTGGCACTGGAGTCACACATTTATAAATTTTAGGCCTCAGAGAATTCATATTTTGATGTAAAAGTTATTTGAATGTGAAACTCTATTTGCTCACTTGCAAATCAGACTTATTCAAGGCTTTTTTGTTTGTTTTTGTTTTTTTCAAATCTCACTGTTAGCCTCTGCCTTGTTGAATCTTTCCACTGGTTGACTTGATCACATTTATAAAAAGTTTGCCACTCTTTTCCATTCTGACCTCAAATATTTAGCCTTTCCTTTAAAGATCCTGAGGGTATTTATAAACCTTTTGATCCAGGGTACAAATTAACCCCTGCACACTCTACACAGGGTCCTGCAATATCTTTCTACATCTACCACTCACCCCACCTGTTCAGTGGCCTCCATCCAATGCCTGGCTTTGTTCCGTCTTATTTTGTTAAATATATGAAATTCTCACTCTCCACCTTCTATCATCTCTTCTTAGAAATGCTGCCCTTCCCACAGGCCCAGAGCTACCCTACCTTCCAACTTACTACAAACTGGACCAGCTGTGACTACAACCTAATTTGGGGTAAGTAGAATTTCTTCTAAGAACTTGTGCTATTTTTTTTTTTTTTTTTTTTTTTGCTTTCTTGTGCTGGGGATTGAATCTAGGGCCTTACACATGCTAAGCACCTGTTCTACTATAGAGCTACATACCCAGCCTCCTGCTACTTGGTCTAAAATGTTCATAAATATATCTACAAAATAACATGTATTTTTTATGTGTAATAAATATAGATAATAAGATGAAAAAGACATTCCCCATAGACGAGACTGTTCAAAGACATTGTATTTGTAAAAATGTAGCCTAATTACAATAAATAAAAAAACAAAAATAAAAATGTAGCCTACAAATAAATATTAGTTGTGCCAAACAATACTTTTGTAAAAGTCCATCTGCCTCTTTGGTATACTTGTTTTGGGATATAGTGAAAGAAAGAGGGCAACTTCCAAATTCCCATAAGGCTTTGCAAATTCTCACAAGCCTCTTCTATGGCTAGAGCCAGCTGTCTTGATGTACCTTCTGGATGTAGAGAAGTCAGTGGTCATACCACATTGTAGAAAGCATGTTACTGAGGCTCAACAAACCTTGGCTAATGGAAGTGACAGGTGCACCCTAAAAAAGGTTGGGATGATGAGTCCATTATAGAGATTATATCTGATAGCATTGGTCTTGCTTTGTAAAATAGCTTAATAATGTTAATCCACAATTTAAGGCTGTTCATGTATCATCCACAGAAGGTCCAGAAGGTGCCATGGTCTGCATTAAGGCAATCGTTGGAGTGTGCATTGTGCAGAGCAGGCCACATCCGCCTCTCCATTCTGCCTTCAAGCTCACATATGCAAATTCTACCTCTTAGCTGAAGCACAAAGAACTACATTTCCATGTTATATTGCTAACTTATTGTATGCCTATCTACTCATGGTGCTAGTTAATAGTCTGGGCCATTTCTACTATTGCTATTGTTTATATAGATATATAAGGTTCACCATTGTTTCTTATGCCAAAAAGGAACAAAAATCCTGGGAGAAAGACTACTTCCACCAGATATGGTGCTCTTTAAATGATCTGTAAATTAAAATATATATGAGGTCATAAATGCTTGTATTTGCCTAATGGAATTCTGGAAGAATATACTTGAAGCTAAGATAAGTAATCATTTACCTGTGAGGGCTGGGGAGACAAAAACTGCAAAGATGAGGGACCCAAAAATGTTTTCACTGTAAAGCATTTTATATTCTGAAATCAATGAGCTATGTGAGTGTATCAACTATTGAGAATGAAAAGAAAAGCCCTCAGCTATCTGGGTGGACCCACCAAAGTGGTGACCTTGACTTTGGAATTGTGTAACTGTCATCTTCCGGGCCCCCATGAATGTTCCTTTTGTTATCCACAGTCTGTCCCACAGGTGTGGTAGGTAACAGGTGGCAAAGAATTAAAGTTTATGAAGCTAAGTGCAAACAAAGGACACCTGCCCCCCTCACTGTTCTTCCTCAAAAGATAAACGTAGCACATGAAGGATCAAGTGGGTAGTGCTGGCTGCTGGAGAGGCAGGATTCAAAAAAGTCTTTCAGTGCCAAATGGAATTTCGACAACTTTAATGTTTTTTTTTTTTTTAATTATGTGAAACTCCAGAGCATCTCTCTTGCTCTCTCTTTTTTAAGAGTCTGTTACATTGTGTTTCTGAATGCAAAAATGAAGCATGTCTGTTGTAGTCGGACACAGTGGCACACGGACTGTAATCCCAGTGGGTCGGGAGGCTGGGGCAGGAGGATCGTGAGTTCAAAGCGCTGGGTGACTCAGTGAGACCCTGTCTCTAAATAAAATAAAAAATAGAGCTGGGGATGTGGCCCAGAGGTTGAGTGCCCCTGAGTTAAATCCCTAATACCAAAAACAAAACAAAACAACAACAACAAAAAAAAAAAAACAACAAAACCATATTTATTGTAAAAACTGTGTGATACACAAACACACACAAAAAGAGGAATAATTCAGAAATATGTAAGTCATAGTTCAACAGGGCCCAAGTTAGCCTTCCCTATTGTCACACATTTACAAGGCAGGGAGTGAATTCCAATTCTGTCATAATGTCTACTTTTTTCTTTACCTAGGATGTGGATTGTTGGCAGGAGCCGCGGCCTCTCTTTGGAAGCAGCAAATCAGCAAGCCTATTTTATAAACATGTTGCAATCCAAAACTCATGTGGAATTTTGTTACTTGGAATGCAAGACACAGTTTTCCCATGGAAACAATATACAAGTGGTGGCTAGATTGTGAGGCAAACAATGGAAGTCCAAGTGGTCCACAGGGACTCAATGCCCACTGGACCTTATTACTCTGGAAGGAAGGAGGCCAGGTCAATTTTTGGCTTCAAAAAAGAAAATAAAAATCTATACAAAAAGTATTTTGTTTCACTGAAATATATGTATGCGTGCATACACACACACACACACATACACACACACACACTGGGGTGAACTTTTATCAATGATTTACCTGCAGTGCTTTTATTTCTCCTTGCTTCCTCCATCACTGAGACTGGCAGGCTCCACCTCTCACCTTTATTCACAATTTCCTTCCAGCCTTCACTGCTTTTTAACCCTGTCTCCATTTTTAACTGTTTCATCATTCTCAACCCTGATTTCAAATTCAAATCCTCTTCATGTCCATCTGGGAAGTTTTAAAATCAGAACGACCTTGTGTGTAGAGGCTGGAACATAACCTTGTAGGTAAGCAGAGGCCAGCATGTCAGTCATTCCTGCCCCTTCCCTGAGGGCTCCGAACCTCCTGGGGCTGCCGGGTGTCTGAACCCGTCCTTCTCTGGGCTGTGAGAGTGACCACCAGGGCCACCACTGTGGCCACCACCACATGCAGTTGTTCTGCAGCAACCACAGCATCAAGCTGCGTGGTCAGTACTAGTGATCAGTCCCTTGCTCTGTCCTGGGCACTGTGTTCTAAAGATTTTATATTCAAATACAGCCGCATTCTGAGGTGCTGGGGATTAGTCAACACATGTACTTTGGAGGACACAATTCAGTCATCCTAAGTAATATAATCTCGCATTCTTTCTCCACTCCCTCACCCCCTGGCCCTGCCATAGCTGGCTAAATGTCTGGCCTAGGTTCAGAAACAGGTCAGGGATGCTGGCTGATCTTTGCTTACTGCTTACCTGGGAGAAGGATGAAACTGGGTCAGGGTGGAGTGTTGGGTGGGCCTGTGTATTGGTGGCAGAAATAGCTGTCTACATTTTTTTCTTCAGGAGTGGGAATTGAACCCAGGGCCTTATACAAGGCTCTACCACAGGCAGCATACCCACTCCCTTTTCATTTTTAAGATTCTGAGGCAAGAGTCTTGCTACATTGCCCAGGTTGGCCTCCGTCTTCTGATCCTCCTGCCTCAGCCTCCAGAGTTGCTGGATTTCCAGAAATGGCCATTGTAGACAGTTGGCACTGTACCTTTTTATGTGGCAGGCACTGTTCTACATGCTTTATGTATACCCGTTTCTTAAAATTTCCCAGTAACCCAGGGATAAGTATTATTATTATTACCTCCAACTTATTATAAGAGGAAAACACAGAGGTTGAAAACTTTATCCAAAGTCCTCTAGATAGAATGCTAGCTTTGCATAAAAAAATTGGAAAGAAAGACTATATTAAAAAAAAACAGAAGAAAAGATGAGAAGAGGATAGGAGAAGAGATAGGAAAGGGAGAGGAAGGCAAGGGAGAGAGATGAAGCAGATTCAGATTCACAGAAACCAGAAGAGGCCAGGACTTAGCCTACTGAGAGAGAGAGAAAAACACAGGCAGCGCCGGTCTCCATCTGAAGATGGACCTAGCTGGTGTCAGGGAAGTGGGAGTTGATAATCTGGGTAATAGTGCGACAGGTGTCCTCAGTCGTACTCACAAGCTAGGGAGGCCTGTGTGTACCTGGGGATAGGTGTGAGGGTGAGTCACAGGGCTTGACACACAGCCAAGAGGAGGTGGATGCTAATGATGAGGATGCGACTGTTTTCCACTCTTCTTAGAGGCARATGCGTTGGTTTAAATCTGGGAATGAGAAACGCTGGGCATAGAATCATTTAGTTGACAAACACCGAGTATGAACCCTGTGCTAAGCCCCAAGCTGGGCGGTGGGAAAAGGCTAGCAGAGACCAGCACGTTCTCCATCTCTCCCAAGCCCAGCATCCAGGCTTGGAGGAGATGGAGAAAGAAGATGGGCAAAGACACTCCAGTGTGAGAAGGGCCAAGGTCATATGAGATGTAAGGGGAGCACTGGGAAAGCTACCCAGGGGGTGACTTCCATTGTGACCTTCCCAAAACATGCCAAGCTTCACTTGCTTGCTTGCTTAATTTGCATACACATATCATGGATCTTTACAGTCCAAAGTGTTGTTGTAAAGCTAGGCATGCAAACAGTGACGGAGAAAGGCATAACCATCTCATTGTGGGACTAACAATGGGAGTGGGACTTATTGGGAGAGATAGACGTCAAATGGGTGACTGTACCAAGAGGTGGTGGGAGAGAAGGAACCAGTCAGAGAGCAGCATGGGCAGAGGTCTGGGCTGGGAGAGGATCCAGGGGAAGTTTCTGCCAAGGAATGTGAGGTGAGGCTGGAGGAACAAGTGGGTTCAGACCACCAGCAGCCTTGTGGGTGATGTCTTGGAACCGAGGCTCCATCCTGCATTTCTGGGGCAGTGATTGGATCTTCCTTCTAGAAAGTTCTGGTCATGAGGGGATTCCTTGCTTCTTTTAATCCCCCTTCCCCTGAAAGAGCATCAAGCTGGTACCGGCAGGAGCAAGTTGTGGAACCGCCTTCCCTGTAGCACCCCTGCCCCTGGAAAGGGTACCCACAGAGGGCAAGGGTGTGGGGGGGAGCTGAGATGGCAGCTAGAAACCTGAATGCTACTACCCTGTGTCCTTGAGCAGGACACAACTACACGAGTCCCCAGTTTTCTCTTTGGCAAAGCCCACAGGTGAGTTAAAATCATGTGTCCTGGC